AATAATATTTTATATAATTATATAATGATATTATTACGTACTTAAGAAAACTAAATTAATTTCTTAAAGTTTATATTAAACATTCCATTATCATTCCATAAAGACTTCCTTCAGTTTTATTTTTCATGTAAAGAAGTGTCACTTTTTAAGTAAAATATAAATATACTTAAAACCTAAATAAAGATATCAGAAAATTATTATTTATAAATTGTAATGGAATATTTTATTTAATTTTTTCTATTAATAACTTTAAAATGCTTAATGTAAGACAAATTCGATAGCCATTCCTTTAAAGTAACCAATGAATGCAGTTATAAAATTGCATTTATTGATTAGATTGCTATTATAACTGATTCGTCCACCATTGTGGCATAACATTAAAATCAAGGTATCAGCAGCGACATTCTAATAAATTAGCAAGACGAAAAATTAGCACCATAAACCAACTATTCGAATTAAATATAATCTAATCAATAGAGTATAAAATTAATTGAATAACAGTATATACAGAGAATAATTATTATATGCAGAATTATGTAAAATATTTTGAAGTTAGAAATGATGTCTATCAAAAATATTTAACATTATTTCAACATTTAGTCGTACATTTTTAAAATAAAATTAAGTATATTCTTAAATAATATTTAACAATTTTTAAAATTCAAAATATAAATTTTACAATAGAATTTAAAAACGTACCTCTATATGAAAAGGATATGTAATAGCATACAGTTTTGATTTTTGTTCACCCTTTCTTAAACAGAATATAATATCTGAAATCCAATAAGGTATAGTGAAGTCAATTAGTTTTGAATGTTGGTAACTCATAGCGTGAGGCACTGTTATATCCGACTCCTAAAATTAGTAAATTAAATACTGCAAGTAAATACGGATTTCTAAACAGAAATATTTTTATTAAATATGAAGTTTTGTTTCAGTTTAAATTTTATCATTATCGTTATGTTAAAATTTTTTTGCAATATAATACTTTCATTTCTGTGGAGAGATCCTATTCTTCCTGTCCACGATCCATTTTTAAGATTCATTCCATAATCCTTAATGATTTTTATTTCAAAACTGTAAATTAAAAATTTAATTAAAATATAAAAATATAAAAGCCAAAAAATATCAATTTCAAAAATTCAAAAGTATTAAGTTACTGATTCATTCTTGTATAGATTCAAAAAAGTGTTGCACAATATTACGGATTCTTTATAATGAAGTATTACTAAGAATATAGTGACGATTACCTGAAGGATTTTGATTAAATTATATAATTCATCCGAAACTGCATATTACTCAATAAACAAAACTTACTCTAACACCTTGTAAACATTAGCGAGGCGTTTACAAAATGTTAGAGTAAATTTTGTAAATTCTTTAATAAAAGACATTACAACTCCGTCCTTCAGGTAATAGTAACAAAGTTACATTTGTTATCATTCTACTCCGAATCTACAGCATCATTATTCAAAAATGTAGAAAAAGTTAAAATATACTCTCACTAAATTAGATATCGTTTTACTTAGTAGTCTGCCCTCAACGACTGTACAATATTTATCAACCCGCGAATTTCTAATAGAAAAGATACATATTTCAAAGTACAAAAAGGTTTTCCTGGACTTTCCTTGTCTGGTGGATATGAACACTTTATTGGGAAAACATGAGCATATCAATTAGCAAATCTGGATATAGGACTTGTTCGACTGTTGCCTGTAGTATTCGACGAATGAATTTTAAATTACACCTAAAGCATTATTAGTCTTCACCTTTCGAATTCGATGAATTTTCTGTCCAATGTACTGTACAATGCGAAAGAGGGGAAAAAAGAATTCAAATAGGAAATTTGTTGAACACTTCAAATTTTAAATGTTTTCCTTTAGTTACTACAAACTGATCGGAGAATTTTTTAAATTTCTTCTGAACGTAAAAGTGAACAATTCTTTGATTAAAATAATGAACAAACAGAGATCTTCTTAAGATTTGATGTAGGCCTACTTTGAAGATAGGAAGTAATAATAGATACTTATATAATAAGTGACTTTCTATTTATTAAGACATACACAACCTACGAATGAAACCCGATAATCAGTGCAAATTATTTGTTTCTGCAATTATCCTAAATTCGAAACGAAGAACGATTAAAGTTGTTCGATGTTTCTATGGAATAAAAGCAATTACTTAGTTGTTAAAAGCTTAAAAACTCATAAATAAATTTTTAGTTTCATATTTTTCTTGTAACATTAGCAATGCATTTTTCTTTCTAATTATTTTTCTTAAGTGTTGAGAGTAAGAGCAACAAGAATACTTATAATTTTCTGATGTAACTTATAAAACTGTTTTGTCGGTTGTTTTTAGTTGTATGACAAAACAACAAGTTTTTATATTAAAAGCATTTAATCGCTTTACGAAAGTAGAAAATCTGTAGTCAGAACTTCACATATAACAAATTTACTTAAGTTCTCAACAGTTCTTTCTATAAAGAATCTGAACAGATGCATTTTAATTATGGTCATCCTGCATATATTGATTTGAATACTCGTTTATTCGATTTCCAAAAAAATTCTTGTTTAATATGTGAATTTCGGTTTTAATGGAAAGATCTACCTGATCTGAGAGTAAGAAAAGACCAATTACTTTAAGTGAAAACGAGAGAGACAGACATAAGTAGACTGGACAGTTCTGTGAAAATGGACCTTATCTCACTTGTCTCATCTTTTGTCCTTTCGAATCTCCCATACATGTATATAAAGTATATAGATACATATACATATATTTATATACATATATAATCGTATATAAAATATGTCATATTTGGAATAGAGTTAGTAGTAAAAAATAACGTAAATATAAATAATTCTTAAAACAGCCTTCATAACTACAGTACTGAAAACAATTAGTTATTATTATCATTATTAAGTTTATTAGATGTTGCTACAAATGAAATTTCTATATAATATATATCAAGTTATACTTATTTTTGCATTTTATTATTTAGCCTGCATAAAATTTTTTAAATTTTCATATTGCATATAATTTATTAAAAGTAATCATTTTAATACCTGAATCCGAGAACTTCTTGTATTGTAAGAAGCAACCTTGCGATAGAACCGTGTCCTGAAAACACGATTTTATTTCCTTCTTCTCTCAATTCCACAAGTACTGGAAGCTAAAGTTATTTAGAAATAAATTTATTTTTCATATCTGAATGTTTAGTTTATATAAATATAGGCTATTGAATTATTCTATACTTACTGGAACTACTGCTGTTCTAATAGTGAGATTTTTTGCACTGTTCTTCATAGTTAAATATTGCATAATTTCAATATTCTGCTCAATATAAATTTATGCTGATTATAATTTTATCTGAATTATTAACTGCAAAAATCTTAAACATTTTCTAAAATACCGTATATAAGCATATAAGACGATGTTTTTATGCATTTTTCACTGCTTCAAAAACCTAGGTCGTCCTATACACACGAGCGAAGAATTCTTTTCGTTTTTGTATAATTTTTGTAATCTATGTATTCGCATATTTTACCGGATTCACATCTTCTGGTGTTTAAAAACAAAAGTATTTTATGGGTCTGGGTCGTTTGAATCGTTGTTGTGTATTGCTAGGTGTAAAGATGAATAGCAATTGAAAAAGCAAAGCTCTTGAATTAATTTACACGGGAGCTCGATACAAGTTTTAATCTATTCCCATGTGAAAACAGATGATTATTTGAAATTCGAATAAGAGTAATCGACGAAGAGTGGATTCGACTATTAATTAAGAATTGGCAAAAAAGGTTCTGATTGTCCAGCTTTACATGAAAAAATTATGTTGTTGATTTTACAAGAATTTTCCTTGAAGTTTAAAATGCCAGTAATTTTTGCGGGACAATGTGTGCATTTACGTGCACTTAATATTTTATTTGTTATTAAACGAAATAAAATTAAAATTGTATTAATAAATTTAATTTTCTTTATTTTGATCGTTAAAGGCACACCTTGTCCTATAAGCGAACTCGTCTTGTGTTCGAGTAAATACGGTATATTGTATTAAATATTTGCTTTTTATACTTGGTATAAATGACACGGTTCTTCCTTATGTCTATCTAAGAGGTCGGCTTATGTCCTTGTCTCAAACTGCACTGGACGAGCATCTGAGACAGTTAGCATCAGTGTAAGCAGAGAGTGTTCGAATGTAAGATTTTCAGATGGGACAAGACGAAAAAGTGTGCCAACAGCGGTTTTCAAACTAGAATTGTTCGAGAAGGCTAAGAAATAGGGAAATCCAAGGAGGAAATAGAACTTCTGCTGAATTCTGGAGACAGATGGAAGTCGTAAAAGTGCGTGATTAAAAAAAGTTAAAGTTGGAGATTTTATGACTTAGTCAAGAGAAAGAGAGGCTTCGTATTTTATCGGATAAGCCAAGGAGTTTGTGATTCAAAAAGAGTGAAAATGAAAGGCATGTGTATAAGACCTTTTATGATTTTTTCGAGCTAATATTTTCTATGAAGTAATATGACTCTGTCAAATTACCGGGCTGCAAGTTTTAATCATCTCTTTACTGAAAAATCTAGCAAAGAGTTGTGAAACTTTACACTATGTTATGATATTTTATTTTAAAATCGTTTAATATTTTTAACAATTATAAAACGGCAAAAAGTTTAATTTTGAGGGTATCAACAAGTTCTATAAAAATTGTAAATGCTGATAACGAGTTAAATCGTCATTAAGTCCGATCCTACTAGATATATAACACACGACCCCCATTATCTTCCCATTTCCTTAATCTTTAATAACCAAAAGTTAATAGCATCAATAACCCTAATAATTGAAACTACCCTGCGAAATTTCAGAAATTTACGACAGATAGCACAGAAGTTATTAAGCTTCAAAAACATAAGAAAACAGTGTCCCTGCACACACTAGCATCCATATGTACAGAAAAAACTCCCAAAGGTTTGTTTTGCATTTTTCGCATTTCTTCGTTTCAAGGTCCTCTGAGTCCAAAAATGTAAAAGTACGTGGGGAGGTCAGTTTTCGGCCGATTACCGTAATTTTTTTCTTTTATATATTCAATATATAACAGATCAGGGAAAGTAAAATAGTTTTAATATTATTAATCATAATAAATAAAACTGCGTGTGACGCCATCTGTTACGAAATTTTGTTACAGAAAGCTTTTATATCTTTAATTATTTCAAAATGGCAAGAAACTTAATTTTGATGTTAGAGATGAGTTTTAGAAAAAATTCTAATTGCAAATAATAATAAAATCCTTATTAATATTCGACCTCACTGAAGGTAAGTTATAAATGACTTTTATCTTCTCACCCCTCGACATTTAACCACGAAATTTAATCGGATATGAAATATATTAAAATAAAACTTCCTGCATATTTAAACATATTTATAAGAGTAGATATTTTATTATTAAAGTTTAACTCTTATTATTCAACATCTATGCTGTAAAGAAAATATTCCATATTTTGAAGAAAAACTGAATTAAATAAAAAAACACCAAACATTATATTTAATAACTCTGTATTAAAAATAGAAATAGAATACAAAATACTTCAAATTAAAAAAATTCAAGACCTATAAATTCTCACTGTGATCCATCTGTCCGTTTGCCTATCCGACTGTCTCTACTCACTCTCGGGAAGGAAGTGAAATATATAAATGACGATACAAAATATAGAAACAATAGGGGCAGGAGACACCGATTAATACGGAAATTTTCGATGTCACGTTATTTCAATGCAAACATTTTCTCCTGAAAGCAGTTAATAGAAGACCAACATGACCTTATTGTTAAAGTAAAAGTATGAGGAACAGGGGTAAGCCACTTCTAATTTGAGGTGCAGAGTTTCATTTTATAAATTTAATAACTTTAATTAGAGTTTATCACTTAAATAAATATTATTTCCAAAAAATTATGGTTTAGTATAAACAATATAGTAATTCAAAGTTTAATGAGTTTGTTTGATCACACAGTTTAAATTTGATTTGAAGAAAGACATTTATTTAATATCATTATTATTGCTGTGCAATTTGAGTTAAATTCTTATACTTTATAATTTTTTACTTTCATTTCATTTTAGTAACTAAATTATTTTAATTATAAAACATTAGTTTCATTTCAATTCAACTACAATGCAAAAACGAAATTCTTATAATTTTTAAATTATTATTGGAAATTAACTGTTTTTCCAATTCATTTTTGAATATTTTGTTATTCAATATACTATCTAAAGATATCAATATATTATTGGAAATTAACTGTTTTTGATTTATTTTTAAATATCCTGTTATTCAAGGTAAAGTCTAAAAATATTAATATATATATATATAAGAATTTCGTTTTTGTATTTATATATATATAACTTGTTTTTCAAAGTTGCTAATTTCAAATATCTTTTTTCCTCTGTTCTTGAGTCGAGAGATAGTATAAATACTACGTATAAGAGACTTGTTCGATACCTCGCTGAGAACTTCTTTTGCAAGAACCTCTTATACAAGAAAATCGTCTTCATAAAGTATTTTTATTTAAAAGTTTGTCTTTGACAAAAAATTTGACTTAGAAATAACTTGATAAAAGTAAATCTTCGAAAAATTCACAAGTTTAATTAACATCAAAACATATAAGAATCGATTTAAGGAGGTAATAAAATTTGATGCAATGAACAACCATTTAGGCAACTATGTGCATGTTTAAAATATCTTTTAGAGGTTTAGTAAAGTTCATTGACTTATTATTCTAATATATACATAACTTATTTCATATAACTTTTTTTTTTCAAAAGTATTTGTTATATTGAAAAATGATCTTGAAATATTACTGAATTAGTTTCATATGATATAGAATTCTGTTTTAATAAATTTTGAAGGTAAGTATTTATTATTAGTATTATTTTAATACGATTTTAGTATTATTTTAACATTGATTTCGAGGCATTTGCGGTTTACAATGAAAATATCTGTTTAAAGCATTGTTCTGGGAGTTTAGGTTTGCAGCAGAACATTCTAAAGAGTTTGGTAAAACTAATTTTTATAATGAGTCTATTTTTAAAGAAATTTAACACTTAGACAAAAAATTGGCAAGATTTGACAATTATTTGCGTGGTTTATATCTATCATATAAGAAACAAAATTTTAGGGAGTAGGCGCAAAGTGATAGGATTTACAAGGTACTGTATAACTTATTTCTGAAATATGAATAATTTAAAGTCAGCAAAACTGAAGGGAAAAATTCAGCAAAATTCATTTTTATAATGAATCTATTATTTTTTCAAAATTAACAGTTAGACATATAAAAATTCTGTAGTTATTTTTGTAGGGTTTATATCTATCATATGAAAAACAAAATATTAAGGAATTACAATCAGAGGTTCGTTTTCTTGGAGTCTAATATTCTTTAAACTCTTTCTTAATTATATTTAAATAAATACTCGTTAATATAAATTTAAATGTATAGAAATTAATTAAAATATACAGTAGAGCGTCGATTTTCCGAATCAATTGGGGACTGGGGTTGTCCGGATAACTGATATTTCGGATAACTGATTTTATACGAAAAAATAGTTTAACGTATCCGATGTCGAAATTTTTCTCCGTTGCGTGTCGCTTCGCATTGAATTTTCGTCGATGTTAAGCCTAACAAAGTCTATTGTATCGTTAAAAATTATTTTTTTATTTTGTACAAACAAAATAAATATATTGAAAAATATAAAAATATTAAAGAATTATACTTCAGATGTTAATTTAGTATCAATAACGTAAAATATTTGAGTAGCCCAAGACATAGCCAAAGATTGAAGTGCCACAGCACTGGCGAAAATTTAAATTTGCCGACTGGAATTCTTTCGGATGATTGACGTTTCGGATGATTGACTTTCCGAAAATTGACGCTCTACTGTATTTAAAACTAATCTAATTGTACATACTTTAATATATAACTAATACAGATAGTGTTACAATTTTATTATGTTTTTAGTTAATTTATTTAATTAAGTTGTTTTTAAAATAAATTTCCTTATTGTTGTAAAATTTATTTTTAAAGTTTGTTGATATATAATAATTTCCATTTAGGTGAGACGAGTTTATAAAAAACAAAAAAAAAAAAATGTATATAATCAGAGTTTCATTTTATAAATTTAATAACTTTAATTAGAGTTTATCACTTAAATAAATATTATTTCAAAGAAATTATGGTTTAGTATAAACAATATAGTAATTTAAAGTTTAATGAGTTTGTTTGATCACACAGTTTAAATTGGATTTGAAGAAAGACACTATTTTAGTATCGTTATTATTGCTACTGTGCAATTT